TCTACGGCAGACTTACCAGGTACAAACCTTGGAAACAGGTGTTAACACACACACACACACTTTTTGGGGTCTCTTGCCGGGGTAATATGTTCAACGTTATTTATCAGAACGGTCCAAAGTTTTTAGAGGGTGTTTTTTGTTGGTGGGAAATGGGCAACCTTTTTTTTCACCCTTGAACCCTGTTTTTTTCACCCCGCCCTTTTTTTCCACCCTCCACCTTTCTTTTTCACCCTCTGAACCTGTTTTTTTCACCCTCGAACCTTCTTTTTTCACCCTCTACCCTTTCTTTTTTGACCCTCGACCCATTCTTTTGGCACCCTCCTTCCTTTGCTTGGTTGCCTAGCTTGTTGTAATGCAAGCCAAATATCGACAGCCTTTGGGGAAAACACAGGGTTGTGTGGTTTTGGTTCGGTTGATTGGTTTGTTGGTGGCTCGGTGGGCTACCAATGCAAAGCAAGTATCGACAGCACACAGTTTGGTTGCTACCCTTCTTTTTATCCCACTTCCTTTGGTTGGTGTGTTGGTTGGTTCGGCCTGCTTGGCTTGTTGGTTGATTGGATTTGGGGAAAACACATACGGTGATGAGTGGATCATGGACAGGGAGAAAAATAGAACTTTTTGGTGGGTTGGTTGCTTGGTTTGCTTGCTGTTGATTGCTTGCGTGATACAGTGGATGGATGGATGGATGCTGTGTAATTAGATAAAGGCGGGACGGGGTGCGGGGGAGGGCGCAGCGCCGGAAAAACAGGGTTGCGTGGTTTGGGTTGCTTGGTTTGTTGGTTGCTTGCTTGTTTGATGGGTGGATGGATGGATGGTCTGTAGATAATGGCGGGCGGGGATGGATGCATAAATGGATGGAGTGTAAATAAAGGCGGGAGGGGGGTGCGGGGGAGGGCGCAGCGCCTCCCCCGCAATGCGAACCAAGTATCGACAGCATGTAGGATCACACAGGGTTGTGTCGTTTTGGTTGCTTGGTTTAGGTTTGTTGGTTGCTTGGTGGGCTACCAATGCAAAGCAAGTATCGACAGCATTTGGGGGAAACGTTTGGTTGCTTGATTTGTTTGCTGCTGGTGGGCTACCCACCCTTTCTTTTTGACTCTGTTGATGGATGCATGGATGGACGGATGGATGGATCCTGTGCTTCCTCACGTTCCGGAGGCGTCCGGGTCAGTTTCCGGCGGTTCCCGTCGTTCCGGACAGTCTCTACGCAGTTTCCGGAGGGTTCCGAAGGGCTAGTAACAAGAAGCTATTGGGGTGAAAACAAAGGGTTTGGCAGGTGCAGGGACAAGCGGTGTGAAACAAACCGGAGGTGACATCGTTCTCTGTGCAGGTTCCATGGGATACCTGCTTCACCGGCGGAGGGTTGAAAAGAAAGGGTCGAGGGTGAAAAAGAAAGGGTGAAGGGTGAAAAAAACAAGGTGAAGGGTGAAAGAAACATGCTACAGGGTGAAAATGACAGCATGCAGGGTGAAAATAAAAGGTTTTGGGAGGGTGGAAAAAAAGGTTCTAAAGGGTGGGAAAAAAGGAATCTTGAGGGTGAAAAAAACATTGTTCGAGGGTGAAAAAAAAGGGAGCCCGTGGGAAATTTGTGTCTGTGGTGTAGGAAGTTCCCAGGGGAGTGCAGCAAACAAGTGTTTGGAAGCAGGGGTGTCACTCTTAAAAGTCGAATTTTGTGGCAGGATGGGAGAGGTTGCATTGCAGTGGCGCGGGGCGCAGCGCCCTCCCCCGAACAACGCACAAACTGTTTGAAGAAGCCACTCTACAAACATGTGTCTATCTACTGATGTTAAAATGCACGTCATTGTTAAAATCAAACTACAAACATAGTTCACAACAGGAAGACCCCGGCCTCATGGGTCGTGCGTCTGGAACTTCAGACCTTACCAGCATCAACAACGGAGAATGCAAAGTCCACCTCTTTGTTGTACTCTCAACGACCAATATTGCACCAATATTGCACCAACGGTGTCACCGGACCGGTCGATTCTCTCCGTGCATGACACCGTGACTGTAGCGTTCTGTGTTGAAACACATGATAGAAGCCCCCCAACAAAATACAGTACGAAAGTAGATCCCCACTAAAGATGTATTGGAAAGCGTTTCTATCTATTTGAGGTCCACTTAAGATTTGCTTTGCCTCTTCTCTGCCAGCATGCTAGGCTGATCACTGCTATTCAAGCGCATTGCCAATGACAAGCGCGAGTCCAAGCCAAAACGGATTTTTACCAAATGCATCCGGCATTGCCACGAACATATATGCCGTCAACACGGACTATTCCAATGACCCATGCATGTCACTTGACCCAGAATGAAAGAGCCAGCCTCACCAACAGAAATGATAACTATCTCAAGTCAAGTCTATATTAATGTCGTCTCTGTTGCTCTATTTACCCAGCCACAATCAAGGTGTATACAAGCCAAGTGGCTTCGATGCGTTGGCTGGCTTGCAGAATTGCAAGTGCCATGGCTGCGCGAACTCGTTTAATCGGTGGCTTGAGTCCGTAGCACATTCACTGAGTAAATCACAGCAGTGTCTTGCTGTAAAGAGTGTAAAGGGACCCTTAATTGAAACGCTATCGCAAACACATGACCAAGCTTGCGCAAATGACATTGGTTCTGAAATCGATGGAAACAGTGTATACGTATACAATTTCTGTCTTTGGCTGAAGCCAGCACCTTTCGTTCGGAGGTCTCAGTTGCCTTTTCCAACCATGTTAGGCCAAGTGGGTCGGTCCTTTCTTTCTGGCATCTCACATTCATGCCACTTCATTAGAAACCCAGGGAGCCCCATTGAGGAGATGCATCAGAAAGACATATCACCCTACATATCAAATCTGATCCCAAAGTCCTCCGATGGTTTTGGACCAATATGTTTGACGACTGATCAAGTATTACGTTCTTGTTCTTACTGCTTTCTACCAGCATGAAGAAACAAATCTTCATGAAAACGTAAATTCCTTCATTTCCGTGTTCCCCATGTGATGAGACATTATATAATCGTTGTCCTCTTGGCAACTTTGGACTGGACGAAGCGCTCTACCTCTACACAAACATTTTATAACATTTTGGATCCTTAATCAGGTCGGGTCCTTCTGAATATGAGTATTGCCTTTGAGCAGGTCGGTGTTGTCGGAAGTCCAGTGCAGTTGTGTGTTCTTGCTGGCGCTGATGCATGTTCCCCGGTAAAGTGGCCAACCAACTCCTAGAAACATGCACCCTTTGATCAGCAAACCAAGCGCATAGCAACCAAATTTAGCTGCTAGCATCAATGTCAAAGCTCGATATAGGAGCACGTTCGACCGGGAGCTGTGACAAAGAGCGTCGAATCTGGCGATGGTGAGGATGTAGACAAATCAAAGCAATGGAGATCATCGCCCCAGCGACACCTCGGGCGATCCCCGACACTGCCTTCAACAACAAGTGACCGTGACGGTAATGACCGTCGAACAAGTGATATAGAACGGGTTGAGCAAACCTACCCTACTGGTTAACATAAACATGCCGGCGGAATCATTAGCGCCCCACGAGTTTGTTCTTTTCGGATGTTTCGCTGCAGCGAAAACCGATTTCTGAGATGCAAGTCTGAGGCCCAATCTTTTCAAATTCGCTGTGCAACCCTTACAGAATTTTATTGTCAAAAAGGTGCCCCCTCCGGTGCGTTCGTTTTCTGTGTTTTCTCGATAGAGAAATGACACACGCAGACACATAAAACCATATAAAACCAATCGACAACTGTCATGGTTGCATTGGCGCCAAAAGCAGGTTGCACTTCTTGGCAAGTGCCTTATAGCACCGCGAACCATCACGCATGTGTATGCAATGTGACATCCTCTTCGAAGCACATCCAAACCAACGTGCTCGTCCGCTGGACCGCTCTCGAGACAGTGTCTTTCCAAGGATGCCCCACTGCAATCGCACTTCGTGTCACCCCACCCGTTTACAGTTCTGACCGTCAATGAGTGTCCATGCAACTTTGTGATGCTCGTTGTTGTTGTTGCGAGTAGGCAAGTTTGCGGACATTGGAGAACTTGCGGCCAACACCAGTTCAGTTGGTTGCAAGCGGTGCTTTCAGCGTTGCCAGAGCACGTCGAGCTTTGAAGGTGCTTTGAGAATCCTTGTTTCGACCTCTGTGTGTTGCACTCGAACAGTTTCCGCACAAGTGTTAAGCGGGTGTCCATGTCAAAGTCTCCGTGTCTTTCTGGGCGGTAAAAATTCCGCTAGCATACACATGTAAGATTGGCCAAAGTGATAATTTGGCTGAGCAAACCTTTCAGGTTTCCACACCCACTTTATTTGAGACTCATTGTATGTTTCCTTATACTAAATGAGTCATAATGAAAAAACATGGTTGACCACACCCAATTCAAATCGTCAGTGGCAAGGGGGATCTCATGAATATGTTTAGTTGTAACTTGAGAATTAAGGTATCATAAGGTAAGCTCTCTTGCCACACTGAGGAATGGACAAAACCTGACACAATCCATAGACTCCTCGGAACTTTCAATTTCAATGACAGTTGTACTGTGAACCGTCGCTGATTTGGCAGTTTGGCTCTCAAGCGGCACTCGCTGATTGCCAGGGCACACGCTGCGGCCATCACCAAGTGTGGGAAAGAAAAGCAATCTCGACCAAAGCAACGGCCAGACTTGTCCGCATGACGGTCGTATGAATAACTTCCCAGGTAGCTGCCAAAGAGCAAAGATGCAGTTCCATTGCCGACCTTGGTGTTAAACGTTGTGTAAGCTACACGTATACCGTACAGCCGACGAAACCAACCGAAAACATAACATTCAACAGCATAGTATATGTAACTGCAGTCCAAGTTCATGTGGTGACAATATCAAAGAAAATAGTGTCAACCTCGCACGTTTGAACGCAAGAACCCTTGCGTCTGCAACGCTAGGGGCATGAAGCTGATGCTGGTGATGGGAAACAATTATATAATAGACCATGACAAATATGAAAGCAAAAACATCTTTTCAACGGGGCCACCTGTAAACAATGCACTTGAACATGCTCGAAGCGCAAGCTTCCACTTTGCTCAAGCTTCCACTTTAGCAAAGTGGAAACAATATGAGCATATATAGTCTCGGACAATCACTTAGAGCAAGTCTTGGAGAAAAAACAACTTTGGAAAACCAGTTTGCAGGTAGAAGTTCTAAGTGCACGCTTAGAACATGGACAAACCTGCTCTTAGGACATCTTAGCACTGGACATTAAACATACACTTAGAACATTCATGTAAATACAAACTTTTGAGGAATAAGCCTCGCCCCAGGCGTCGCCCCACCTGCAATACCCTCTCCAATATTTATATGTCACCACTTCAGTTCTTCTCAAACGGATGTTCCAAGTGTCTTCAGTTCTGCTCAAACGGATGTTCCAAGTGTACACTTAGAACATGCATGTTCTAAGTGAGGGAATGTTGTTTTGGAAAAACATGTCTTATTATAAGTATATGTCCGCCGCTATAATTGAAAAACAATACTCAAGAAGCCGCGCGTGACGATTGTCTGCAGAACTAGGCCAAAGTCTGCTTGGTGCCCAACAAAGGCTTGCTTGCAGTGAATGCAAGCTCTTCAAAAACCAGAACATGGAAATACTTATGTCTTGTGTATACAGCAGGGGTTGAATGTGGAAGGCTCGCCCTAAGGCCTGAGATCCCCACCGCATCCAAAAGGGTCCAGTTGGCATTCAGTGTCGCTGAGCCCCAGCGCGCTGCACACACGTTGACCTTAAGAGCATGTGGCGTGAAATCACGACTCAGCTTCCAAGTAGTTTCACGAAAAGGGGTCCAAACATGATCCCAACCTTTGGGGCATCATACGAATTACAGTAACCAAAGCTCACGCCCAAGTTGGAGACCGCTCGAAACATCTCGAAGTCTGGAAACGGGTTCCCCAAAAAACAGTTGCTGAAGGTGGTGGTTGAAAAAGGACTCTCCCAGGTCAGAAATCGTAGGCAAATGGCAAGCAACCATCCCTGCAAAGCTGACACCTTTCTTTTTGAGCTGCCAAGACACCAGAGTTGGAAAGGCACCGCCAAAGCCCAGTCCCACAATGACGACGCCGGACACCAGCAGTGTGAGATCCTCAGAGCAGGACGAGTCTCTGTCACTCCCTGGAATCACTGGGGAGAAAAGCCCTCTTGAAGATACGTTTATTTATATATGTGACGTGATCTCCCTGGAATATTCTGGAATCATCATTTTGAAGTGGAACATGGCGGCCGTGGGCCCCTTGCGGCCCTTGGACCATGTTCCTCTACAAAATTACATTGGGCGGTTTTCCATGATGATTCCAGGGAGTGAAGCCGTTAAACCACCAAGCTTGTGGCGGTGCGGTCGCAACCAACATGTGATTCTCAACTCGACTACTTCAACCCCTGGCTTCGAGACGCTGGCAGGGTCCAACGCTAGGCCAGTTGGCTTGAGCACATGGCAACATCAGAAACATCCTGTTGACCCCGTTTTGAAGGCCACGGTCACCACTGTCAGACTTGCGAGGAGCACCTGCTTCCGGCGTGACATTAACTCGTGCTTGGGATCCTCTTGAACAGCAGCAGCATGAAGCAGCACTTGGCCGCAAGCCCCCAACACCGTTGAAAGCACCTGCGAAGAAGCTGGCAGAAGTAAAGGGAATGAAGAGAATTGAATGCATCGCAAACATGTCTGCAATCTCAGCAACAACTCCGCTCAGAAAACCCCTAAAGAGTGTTCGTCGTTTAGCCCATGATGGCCGCCCTTTTGTGCTGTCCAGTGACGAAAAGGAGGACGCGCGAGGCTCGACGACGCTTCAAGATATCACATGCCATGCCAAAAGCAAGTCGGCTCAGCATATTGCCTTAGTTTCGCGCCATCGCCCTGAAAGGATTTCAGTCGCCTGGCCTGCCTCGCCTCTGTTTAAGGCATGTGCAAAAAGTACGTCAGTACTCATCATGTTGAATCAAACATATGGGCCCTAAAAAACAGCTTGGGCCCATGGATGCCCTTGCATAGAAAAATCAATGACCTCAACCACTTTGCGTTCGTGACTGCGAAGTGACTGTGAGACGTTGGCTGTCGTGTGAATGCACCCCGCCCACCATTGAATTGAGAGAACTGGCCACTGGCTCATGCCGAGCCGCAAAAGGAGAAACAACAAAGGAGCGCTTCACTTTGTGCTGAAAAGCCAATCGCATCCGCCATCTGCGAAAGGTTCGTGAGGACCAGTTGGCCAGACCCAGCGGCTGAGCTGAAGACGAGCATGCACATCCTGGGAGAATTTGGGACCAGCTACAGTACAGTTTGTCTGCGCGGATCGCACTGCGAGTTTGCTATGCCTTGGAGAAACTCACTTGATAGTTAGTGAATTGGGCTACTCAACATGAATGTATGACAAAATGATAAACGCAAGCCCCCAGATTGAGGGCGCCCTCTAATAGCGATAGAAAATGTCATCTAATAACGAAATTGTGGCAATTAGAATCCCTTTTTCGCAATTAGGAGGTCTTGTTTCGCAATTAGAATCTCTTTTTCGCAATTAGAATCTCTTTTTCGTCATTAGGAGGTACCCTGCCCCAGATTCAACTACATGATCTCTGTTGCCAAGCATCACTGGATCAACAAAACAAACAAAAGGGCCCGGTGCTGGATCGGATCAGAACCGAGTCACAAAGATGGCAAAACTATGAAACCAGTGGGAAACTCATTAAACAAGTGACCTTTGCCACCGGCCGCTGCGGAGCCCGCGGCCCCATGGCAAGTGACGCCAACCTTTTGACACCGGCCGTTGCCGACCGAAGGCGGCATCGGAGTCCCGCGGGTCGACCCTTTCCTCTGCCCGGTGACGCCCCGTTTGTGCCCTGCTTCCCTGCCGCGGTAGCTACCGCTTGTGCCCGATTTTGCCGAGTTTCCAGTACTCCGCGGTCTTCGATGCCTGCTGTACAGTGATGTGCCTGCAGTGCTGCAAGCTGCTCTCACATTAGATTTAACGTGCTCAAACATATCTCAATGGACCATCTCCCCTTTCTTTGTAATAGGACTGATAGGGAAAATCACTCAGAAGCTGCCAGGAAATAGGAAACATGGATGCCCCAGCTCCGCATCGCCGAGACACATGGCATCAGCGGTTGATCCCTCTGACTCGGCCAGCTCGGCGTCTTTGTCCTCCAGAAAGCTCAGCCCCAGAAAAAGTGCCAGCAAAGAGGAAATCGTCGCAGCCAGGAGGCAATCCTTGGCATGGTTTCAGTGACCGGAACCACAAGAGCACACCCCAAACCAAAACTCCGAAAAGGTTTGCGGGCACTTGTTAGTTGCATCTGCTTACCGCTGCTTACCATCCAGTAGAAAGGGGATGCATGGTTGTAGAGTCCGGGATTTGCAATGCTTAAATGCCAACAGAACAGCCTGCCGAGCGCTCCCAAGCATCTGAAAGCGCCCCCAAGGGCAAAAAACTACAAGCAGTGGCGGCGGCCGTGATGACCACCACCGCACAGGCCAAGATGAAGAAGACCCGTCCTGTCATCTATGATAATGTATGATAATGCCAGCCAAACTCTTTAGCAGCGTGTCATCTCATGAACGCATCGAAAAGCATTAAATCTATGTCTGAATCTATATCTCTATCTATCTCTATCTATCTGTCCATCTATCTGAAACATACCTCTCGCTGCAATGCACTTGACTCCCAGCGCTTCCCAGCTGAGTCCCCAGGCCATCTCTTGTAGAGGAGCCCGGCCGGGCGTCCACGCAGCAGGTGAAGAGCCAAATGGAAAGACCCAAAGTGATGCTAGCAAAGGCAGGGAATAGTTTCATCCCTCGGGACGGGCAGAATTCTGAGACAGCATTTTGGGCCGAGAAAAGTGACCCAAATGTAACACGAAACTCGGGAAACTGATTTTTTCCCTGGCAAGTGACTTCATGAGGAAGGATCATAAAAGAGATCAAATTCGAAACCTTGAGCTGCCAACTTGCCAATTTGTGCAACTGGCTCCATGACAGTAGTTATTGATAGTTATTCATCACGCACCACTATTCTACTTTCATTACTAGTGTCATTATCATGTCCTCCATTACTTCCTTGCCTTGGCGTCCTTAAGCCCAATGCTTTTTCCAAGCATAGATAGTGGCATGACATGCTGACATAGGGTATAAAATGGTGTAAGTAGGAAACTCTTTGGACCTTCAATGTATGAGTGCAATCCAACTGTCAGGTCTCTTCTCAACAGGAGCACACACCCACATAGCTGCCCAGCATCCAAGCGCATTCTCCGGTGGACGTTGGCCCCAAAGGCCAAAGAAAATGGCCGGTGCCAAAGCACCGCCAGCACCCAGGCTGCCTTTGATGACACCTGACAAGCGAAGTTGGCTGTTGGGAAGCTCTCGGAGGTTCACTTGATGAATCATAGTTACTTCATACGACTCGAAAAAAGTGGAGCGTGGGGGGTCAAACGCAAATGTTTAATGTATACATAGATGAACCTTCTTGATTCTTCTTGGCTGAATGCACCATGATGTGCCACTGGGAGTGTGGTGCAAGTGGGCAGGTTCAACGTGAAATTCCATGGACCAGGCGCTGCTGCGAATTCCACCGGATTCCACTGGTGTGCGGTCTTGGCGACGCGGCGACGCGGATGTCCCATGCTGTCCCGAATGCTGTCCCGAAACACTGCAAACACACGGACTGTCTTAGAATTGCATACTCAAGCGACATCTTCCCCCAACAAACATTTGTTCATAGTGAGTGATTTCCAAGTTCTCAATGTCAATGATTGTTGCAATGGGTTCCAACGAAAACAGGTCAAATCTTCAAACCCTGGCCGATCCGGATCCACCCCGGGCGCCTACCGCAAATCCCGAAGAGTCCGGAAAGCATCGGACCACCTGGCCGGCGCAAGGAAACCAGGCCAAGGAGCCCAAGAAGCCCAAGATCTCTCGAATTGGGAGATTGCACGAATGAACTCGAAAGGTGAACGGCCAAGTCATAGAGGAAACCAAACTTCCAAGAGCCATTTTCCACTTTCATGCTAGCAAGTCAAAGCGCCCTACTCAACTCTGCGAGTCCTTGTTCCTATCCCAACGCTGTGATCAACGTTCATCTCACGCTCCAAACAAAAAGTCCACAACACAGTGGCAACTCCATCCTTTTTGACTGTTTACAATCTAACCTCTCTCTCCCTCTCCCCCTGGGCTGCAATCAGCGCTCACGGGCGCGGCGGAGCACGGGTGAAGGCCACGGCACCTGTTGGAATCCAGCACCAAGACTGGTCCCTTGACCAGCCCAGCCCACGCCCATCAGCACGGACATCAGTGCAGCGCCATGTGGACCTTGAGCGTGGACCACAAACGAATCTGTTTTGACCAGGAGATGCGGTTCTGGGAAACTTCCGCTTGGTGCTTAACATTAAAGCAGCAAACAAAACCATATACATATCATATCATATAATATATTTATTTATCGTATAACACCGTGAGTTCTCGGGGGAGATCATCAAACATGCAGGGACCAGGGATCCTTTCAAACCGTTCCCAGGCCGCACCAAGGCCTATAGAGGTCCACCGCGCGTGGGTGGGAGGCTTGCCCCGCAGATGTTCACCACACCCATGTCTTGAGGGTCCATACGGAGATGAATCCATGTCTAGATTTGTAAATACCCATATCTGGTTTTTATATAACATTGACACATAGCATTATACAAACACCACTACAAACACCCTGTTCTCGTCATCCCACCTGGCAGCAAAGGCTGCACCAGGTTGTACACGAGAAGCGCATAGCAAGCTAACCTTGGGACGATCTTGGACAAATCTATGGACGATGGCCACCCCTGTGCCCAATGCTCGACGACATGGTCATGAAACCCCAGCAGCCTCAGCACAACTCTACAACAACATTCAACAATTCCTGGAATGAACTGAACTCACAAGAAGCTATTAGTAACAGGTGCCACGCTAGTAGTAACAAGTGCCTTACTAGTAGTAACTAGAAGCCATTAGAAACAACCTTCTATCAACCATGGCGCTGCGCACAGAAAACAAAAAGGCATGCGAACTCTCGTGCCAAAAAACAGGGCCGCGACGCATGACACGCACATGCCCCCAGAAACATCAAACCAAACAGGTTGCATGCTGCTGTTTGTGACCTTTCATGAAAGCCAATGTTTGGCCTTTCAAATTGATCTTCATCTAAAACCGTTTCTGTTTCTCCCCGTCGAACCCATGGTCCTTTTGCTCACCCGTTGCTCACCCGTGGCTCTTCTTTTTCGGTTCGGCTCAGCGACATCACAGCACAACCGATGCGGGGTGATCTCTTGGGGCCCAGCTTCTGATTGCCTCGGGTCGGAGGCCCGAACGAGGTCATGCCCCGTTCACCAAGGAAAGGGTCACTGGCAGCAAAGGCTAGCGGCTAGCGGATGTCAAAGTGATGTATTTTCTTTTTTCTCTGCTGTGCTCTGAGAGGGTGTGTCGCTGCAGTTCACAAAGTTAAAATACTGTAGTATCCGTTTAAAGCATTGTTCAATCGAAGTGGATGGTGCAAAGAAATCCTGAAGACCAGCAGCCTTCTTTGGGATACCAGGACAGCTTGCTCCTCCAATATCTCCAATGGCTCTGTATGGCTTGCAACTCTGCCCGGTCGATGAACGCAAAAGTGACCCAACCAAATTAGGACACGAAATGACCCTCGCATTCGCGGCAGGGGGTCTTCGAGGGTGTGGTCAAGCACAAGCTCATACAAGCTCAAAAGCGCACTGGTTCGATCGAGTGGCAAATGCTGTAGCCATAGGAGGTGGTGGCGTAAAAGAAGAACGCAAAGTTCATCACCTTCAAAGTGTGACATCTTGTGACAAAAGCACCCTTGGACCCTTGGCCCATGATCTGAGGGTTGAGCTCAATTTGCTGCATGTGGATGGATGGCAAAGTTGTGTCCGCTGTGGCTCTGACCAGTTGTCAAGGATCTCTACACATGACCCACACCGGGCTCCAAAAATGACCCACACCCTGAGAAAACAGGCCCCAACAATCGCTGTGCATGGCACGAGGTCTGTCTCCCTCAGGGTAAGGCCGAAGGTGTCGATCACGACCGGGCTGTAGGCACTGTAGTCATACCTGGGCAGCTGAACCCAAACGCGGCAAGCTTGCTTGTTTTTTTAATGGGCGCACTGGCTAAAAAATGTGGAAAACGATGAGCAACAACAACAACAACAACAACAACAACACCAGGGCAACAGAATGCAACTGTATGCAACTATGGTACAGTATCACAATGCATGCCCGCGGCCACTACAATCAAACATCAACTATATCCGTAAAGTTGCAAACATTACGGTAATCAGTGTTTCATCATCCTAGCAGGTTGCGAATGGAACCCCTGCAAAAAAACATCCTTATATCCCTCGTATCCTCTCCATCATCTTCCATCCTTCCCCATTCCACCCATGCACGGACCGTCCCCGACACACTGTCCCTCACTCGCTCATACCACTTACATCCCTCACTCCATCTGTCTCACTCACTCCATGTGACGTGCAGCCCGCAGCGATGTTGAGTGCCAAAGCGGTGGCAAACAAGTTCCAACGCCGCTCGAGCCATCGGGCCATGGCGTCCGGTAGAACATCAAACAGCCTGGTAACACCGGTCTCCCCACAGGGTGTGATCTCACTGCTTATTGTTGCGTTGTTATAGAGAGGTCTTTTTTTTGGGGGTAGTGCAATCTATATAATATATATATACATATGTGTGTGTGTATATACTATATACATATTAATACATATGCATATAATGTGAGCAAATACATATAAATATAAATACTCGAACAATATTTGCATATATGTCCGTTCTTGCAGGTAGCCTGCTAGCCTTGGGAAAAGCCTCTGGTGTGCAACTGGAGTATTGCAGTATTATAATGATACATAGGTACATATATCATCACGCTATGCAGCTTTGATGCCTTCCTTTGGCAACATGCAGTTTAGTGAAGTGGGTCTCGAGCACCTGCAGCATGTCCGATTGACATCCCTTTGGCCAGGGTCGGCAGTTTTTTTCGACGTGACACTTCCATCTGCAAAGTCCAGTTGCCCCTTTTTTCATTGAAACGAATGCACACTCTGTCCTATTTCACAAGATGGCCTGTCGCTTGCAGGTCCGATTTCACCTCTTTAGCCCGACTTTGGCCATCCAAACCCCGGCATCACAATGAATCCCTCCGCTTCTTCTTGTGCCTTAAGTCTTAGTATGTCCTTGTCTTGCTCCAGGATCTCTGATGTTTTAATTGGGGAGTCTATCGACAGTCTATCTATGTTCTGAAAGTGGAGGCCAAACAGTCTGGCTCAGCTCAAAGGCCAAAATTTGCTCAGCCCACCTGAGGCAAGGCAGCTCAGCTCCGTCACCCAGAAAATGTAAACCCTGCTCTCAAAATACACACCTCTAAGCCTCTAAGCATGATTCAGCATGCAGTCCTTCCTTCAAATACACTCCACCAGCCCCCCGAAGGAACCCCCAAGAAACCAACTCACGCGCGCACCCTGCGTGTCGTTCACGCGCAGCGGCCGGTTCCACGCGCGGCCTTGGTCTGATTCTTCACGGCCTCTGCGGCGGCCTTGATTTTCTCGGCATCGCCCAGGTAGCGTCCGAACCTGAGGCCAGTAAGCGGCCTCACCCGCCGCCCCAGCTAGGACGATATAAACATGATCTCAGCATGAGCGATCGCCCAAGACGATCCCAATGATGGGTGACTTGGATGGTAGTTCTTTCTTGTTGGGACAAAGAAGAATGCAACTCCGATCCCTAATGTGAAAACAACAATAACATAAGATAACCATCTTTCTCCTCAGTTGGACCTGCTTTTTGCATCACTCTCCCGCAAGGACACTCCGATCGCCAAGATGCTTCAGTGGCTCGACGGCCAATGGGCTGGCGATGGGCTTCAGGTCAGCATCCAGCTCGTACACCAAAGGAGTACCTTGGAATTAATGAGTGGGTTCACCTGGTTAGTGGTACGAGTAGTTGGTATGGTCCTCAGTAGTTGGATCTGGTTCGCATTGCCTGGATGGTGGATGCACGTTTTTTTTCCAATTCTTCCTCTCCATGGGTAAATGAGATGGGATCTTCCATGGGGGACATAGGGATCAGCCAAGAGTCCTGTTGGGATCTCCAATCCCGGAATCACATCATCCGAAATGCCCTCAATCATCTTCACAATCGCACGGATGGAGTTGCCATGTGCAGCCACGAATACCGTCTTGCCGGCCTCGTGCCCAGCGCCCCATTCGTGCAACGACAAAACAACAACAAACGTCGCCGTGACAAACTAGATTGGCTCAATGAGAGTAATTACTAAATCACACCGTCCTTTTCAGTCACAGGTCTCCTTAAATGGCCTATGGCTCCTTGCCGCACCACAAAAGCACCAAATCGGCTTGATACCAATCCCATGTTTTGTGACTTTCGCGCCCAACTGGCAAGATCAGCCAAGCGTGCCTTGAGCTCAGGCACAATGGCCTCCTCCCAGTAGGGCATCACACGAGCGATGGTGTCCTTCAAGCACTCCGTGTCGGGCACGTCTTTGGGGTCCAAAGCCTTGTACCTTAGAACGCTCCAACGATCGTTGAAAGCCTAGCAGGCCGAGTAGGCCTAGCATAGCACCGGCACCTTGATGGCTCACATGAAGCCAACGATGAGTTGATATCCTGACTTTTGACCTCTCAATTATCTTTTTCCACAGAAAACTGATGCTCTTTGGACGTCTCTGTCTTTGTCCTCCTAGTCCTAGTTGTAAGGATAGCTACCTTCAAGTCGAACATGCGGAATTGCCCCAAATGCCAAGGAGCTTGGCTTCGTTTGAGGGGTGATACTTGCTGTCCTGGACACTTGGGCCGCTATGAATCAAATTAGCTGTCTGATGCTTGCGTGAAAACACATCCTCACATGCTCAAGCATGCTAGAGCTACAGTGGCTATACAGTGTCACTGCCACCACTACAACCCTTCCTCTGCTTCTTCGCTTGGTCACTCAAATGCAATCAAACGCCCACAGCAGTCGCTTCGCCAGTCGCCACTTCTCGCTTCCTCTCGCTTTCTCGTCCTTCTCCAGCGGTGGTGGTGGGATGTCAAAGGACCGACGCCAAACCTGCACCTGCTCTGCACCGTGCTTCACCACCGTCTCCTTGTGGGACAGAGTTCCCGTGTCTGCCGAGGTCGGGGGTGGGTGTGTGTGTGCTCGGCTTGGGCCTGCTTCGGTCATCTTGGCCCTACGAAGGATCGAGAAGTGGAAACCCAAGAGGAGCCAAATACTGAACTGAAAACCAAGCAAATCCACATCCATATGTAGGGCCCATGACCTCCAGGCCTTCAACACGACATAACTACACGACCAAACATTTTGTAAAGCCTCAGGTAGTAAAGCAAAATCCTCCCAACTACAGCTTTGGGCCACCGTTTTTGGCAGATTGAACTGGCAGCCCCAACACAAGCAACTGGTGTCAATCCTTTGACTTCCAACAACAATGCTCAACGAACGAAATCCACTCGATCAAATGCGCAGCTTTTCCAGGCTCATGCCAAGTCGCACCAACCACGCGCCGCCTGGCGCATTGGAGCTACTGACCTTTGAACCGAAGCAACGGTACATGAATGCACCTCAGGCCAATGGCTGGTTTCACACAGCTTCAAAATTCTTTCTTGGCCTGAGTGCCACGGTGCGGACGGTACCCATCCGACCTTGCCTTCGGCTTTGCCTCGGTCATTGGTCCTTCAGTCATCGGTCCCTCTTCGAAGGTCCACTGATCAACAGTCTCTTGCTCGCGAAGGCTTTCAGCCAACTCAGCCAATTCCAAGACCTGATCCGTCGATGCATTAAACTCTTGAAGCATGAACTGCAAAAATTTGTTACGCCATGCCGGGTAGTGGAACAACTTGCGAGCACCTTCGTTGCACAGATCGGCCACTGCTGCCTGAAAGGCCTCGTCCTCGGGAACGAGGATCTGCTTCTTCACCATCTCTGTCTTCACAATCGAGGAATCTCCCTTCGTGTCTTCGGCACGGAGGCTCTCGAGATAGTGAGAAATGGATCCCGAACCGAGGCTTTCCTTGATGGCAGTTCCCCACTTCTGGCAGCCATCTGGTAGAGGGAGTACTTCACCGCCACGGAGAACGTTCGAGTACACTGTCATGATCTTCTTCAACGTCTCCTCAGCCTTGTCCAAGAGGGTTGCACTCCCTTGGATTTGGATCATCTTGGTGCTCTTTGTGAAGGTCAGCGTGAGGACGCTGTCATCTCCACCGAACACTTTACCATTGAAATGGTAGGCCGGGATTCTGGCCTTGCACATTGAACGTGATTGCTGCAAGCACTTCGTGAAATCATCTCCGTTCATCACGCAGCCACTCACCATACATTCGAAGAGCGAACGAACCTCTTCATCTGATGTCTTTTCAACTGCGATCTTCACCATGTTGATGTTTTGCTGACTAACGAAAAGCACCGGCGTTTCCGAATGTTTGGTTTCTTGAGCCTCACCTTCACATGTAGCCTTTCGTGCCAAACGGACCTGTCTTTGCTTAGCTGCAGCTTCCATCATAGTACTCTCACTATTTAGATGGTATTTATTGGAATTCATAGCTGCTCTAAGTAAATCCATTGCCTCCGGAGCTTCCTTAGTCAAAGCATCTGCCAACTGCAGCCAGGTGGGCGCCCACCTGATCACACCCCCAATTCGAGCCAATGTTTCACGCACGATCACAAGGTCGATCGCGACTCTCTTGTCGCCGACGCTTCCGGGTGAAGCAAAGTTCTGAAGGTGATCATAGATGCTCTTACAATCAACTATTGCTTGCAGTTTGAACTCTCCGAGTACTTGCTGACGTTTGGACAAAGCAAAATCAAAATGTTTAGCTTCTGCAAGGTGACATGCTAACCATTCTGCATGTCCCAACCCATCCGAGAGCACCTGTGACTCCCCTGCAAAAGTCGAACCCACGACTCGCTTGAGTCTATAAGACTTCCACACACACGGGCTCCACGAGGCAGGTTTCCCTGCCTGCAAGTCGTCATTTGTTACCCCTACCAAATAACCAGCTTGCGTCCCCTGCTTCTTAGCATTAGCAAAAGCTGCATCGGTGTGCAAACACAAACGAAGTTCGGACATGGGAATTGGGAGGATCTTCCAAACCATGGTCTTGTATTGTCTAGCTCTCCTCACAACATTTCCTATCGTTCGAGCAGCACCGAGTGTCGGTTTGGGCAAAAGCTGTTGCCCCTGGCTCACCTGTACAGCGAGATCAGGTCTGGTTTCTCGAGCAAGCCAAAGAGCTCCACCCAAAACAGATTTCAGAGATGAGGCTTCCTTTGGAGTCACTTCAACAAGTGGTGATTCACGATTTCTGAGTTTCGGTTTCTCGAGTTTTTCAATGAACTTCTCTTGGCTGACAGTGATCGCTCCAGTCTGGTCGCATTGGGTCAGCTCCGAGCCACAAAAACTCCCAGCACCGATCTTCCATTTTCTGAACGGAAAGGTGTTACGCAGGCTTGTGATTGATGCTTCAAATTTCTCTCCATGGCCGCCTAATAGCACGTCATCAACGTGCACACCGAGAACGCCTTTCAGACATTTGTTCTCCCACAAAAAGTATATGCAGTGATCTAGTC